CATGAAACAGTACAACGTCGGTCTCGCAATAGCGATAGATATTGCCAGACCATTCCCTGAGTCAGAGCGTGGTAACAATTACATCTTGGTTATCATGGATTACTTCAGTAAATGGCCAGAAGTTTTCGCTATTCCCAATCAACAAGCCATTACTATTGCCCAGGTGCTAGTGGACGAAATTTTCAGTCGTCATAGTGTGCCACTAGAGTTGCATTCAGATCAAGGACAAAACTTCGAATCTGCAATTTTTAAGAAAATTTGTGAGATCATGGGTATTCATGAGAGAAGGACAACACCTTTACATCTACAGTCTGATGGCATAGTAGTACGATTTAATAAGACAGAGGAACACCTGACCAAAGGGGTCGCAAAGAACCAGCGAAATTGGGAGGAACATATGTCTCTATTTTTAATGGCTTACAGAGCAGCTCTTCACGAGTCAATAGGTGAAAATCCAGTTTTGGAAGGGAACTCAAGTTACCTTACGATCTGGTGTGTTTGCAATACATGAAGAAGAACGGAAAGAAATTTGAGATTATGCCGACGAAGTAAGGGCACGACGTCTAGGAATACATTATTCAGCTCGGGAGCATAACATTCAGCTGGCTAGTGACCGAATGTAGACCAGATACGACTTGAAAGCCAATTCAACCTGATTTCAAGAAGGTGATTTCATGTGGCTGTATAATCCAGCAAGAAAGAAAGAAGTGTCGCCGAAACTATCTTCAGCATGGAAAGGACCCTACAGAATAATCAAGAGGATCAATTATTTGGGCGCGAAGTTGATCGGACGATCAACCTTAAGAAGAGGGCAGTGTGGTGCGTTCGCCAGCATGTACAGAATCTAACTTGGAATCTAGAAAATACTGGTTTATTTGGGAAAAAAATTATCTATTTTCGATTTTACACGAATAGATTGCGGATATATAAAGGCCGGTATTAGTTAGTAGTTTTAAGTTTAAGATTGACTGTGTTACGATTTAGATAGTGAATTTTGTAAGAGTTGTAAAGAGTTGAGTTGTTTGAGTTAATTATTGAAGTAATTAGTGTCAGAGTGTGTAGAAACGTGAAATACATTATTTTTGTGTTAATTGGACTTTGATTTTGGAATAAATGAACCCAAGATTTCTGTCACGCACCCCAGATCCGCGATAATATTATTTTATACCTATACCATGTGACCACGAGATAACTTACCAAGTTTTATCTTAGGCATGGATATCGATATTTTTTTTTGGGATGTACCTCTATCATTAAGATGGACGCAGAATTTCATCATAAAAACAAGTGACTCTCGCTTCCAGTTTGACCTATACAGCCATCAACTTCTTTATTGCAAACGGAAAAGGTATCTCCTATATTATTACTCACAGTTTTGGATTGTACGAGAAATTCTAAGCATATTTTATGCATAACTAGCTTCCCCGCGGCTTCACCTGCCGATAAATTGGAAAGAAATTTATTTAATTATGAAAAGACCGCGCAATCTGACGCGGCGTACTTCATATCGGTTATCAGAGATGGCGCCATGAGTTTTCTTCATAACTTTGTTTTTCGGGATTTTTTTCGATGTTTCAATAGTTATTATGTTACTCAGGGCAAAAACAAATCCATTATAACAAAAATCATAAAAATTGGTCCAGCCGCTCTAGAGTTATAAATGATGCAACCGATACGACTTTGTTTTATTTATACAGATATCCTATACCTATCGCTGGAGAAGGAAGTACGAAAATATGGAAGTACCAGTACAAAACAGAGATGACCTTACATTCTTTGCATATGATCAAATATTTCTAGCTCACGATTATGAATAAACTTATCGGAGTCGTAGTAAACATTAGAAGGCGGAATGCATGTGTATTGGTAGAGGATAGTGAAACAATATCCTGGATCAACAACAACAAGAAATGAACCACTATAGTAAATACAAATATCTTGACATATACTTAACCAACAACGGTATTCGGAGAAATAAAGAACCGAAACATGCGAGGAAGGCAACTCAACAGCATGTTGAGATAACACAATATCCAAAAATAACAAACATCACTTATAACAGCATTACTACTCATTCAAGTGAGGTATATGGTCATTGATAAAAAAAAAAACTTTAAAGGCACAAGAAGCCACGGAAATTTATTTTTCGAGACGGCTTGCTGGGAATTTGAACGACAAACCCCGAAATGAGAGAGTAGAAGAAATTATGATCGTTGAACATAAACTAACAGAGGATATCCGAATTAACCGAGTGACATGTTCAAAGAATGTACCAAAACAGAGTAGGTACCAAAGACAGTACCCACTGGATTGGACACTGGCAGGAATGAAAAAAAAGAGGGAGACCTAGACGGAGTTGGAAAGAAGGATTGAATTGATAAATATACGGGAAAGTGGCCTATGATGGAACAGTGCATGCCGGCTGTAAATATGAACGTCAGTTCCTGCGCTCTAGTTCGTGGCGCAATAGGTGCATGTTTATGTTACACTGCTTGTATCTGCAGTTGGTGCCCTTGCAACGATTTTGATATCTTGTTGTGTGAGAAAAAAAAATTGGTAAGAAGTGATGTAATATTATAGACTAATTAAGTAGTCATCCCAGCAAAAACCTTCAATGTCCCGGCGTACTACTAGAAAAGGAGATTTGGGAGGTCGCAGAGCAGTATTGAGTAGAGATATAGAGGAAGAATTGATTCAACACATTATTCAAATGGAAACCAAATTTTTTGGCTGAACGATAAAGGATCTAAAAAGAATAGTATTCCAAATTGCCGAGAAAAACAAAATTAAGCATGACTTTAATAGGGAAACAGAAATGGCCGGCAAGAAATGGGTCAGCGGATTCCTGAAGAGGAACCCTAGAATTTATTTGAGAATTCCAGAGAATACGCCGTATGCACTTTTCTAAGTTCGTATTTTACTGCTTTAGCTGAAGTCATTGATCAGCATTAGCTTCCTCCCGAAAACATTTATAATGTTGATGAATCAGGTCTAAGTGCCGTGCAAAAAAGACAACAAAAAATATTTGCTACTGGCGGACGGATACGGGTAGGGATACTCAGTCGTGCGGAGCGTGGACAGCACTTGACTGTTGTCTGTTCCGTGAATAGTATTGGAACTTTAGTTTCCCCAGTTTTCATTTTTTCCCGGAAACGGTTTCAAGAATGAACTTATGGATAATTCTCCACCTGGCAGCAAAGCATTTTTTTCTCAAATGGCTTTAACATTCTATACAAAAGTCTCCGTTGAAAACATAATGCTTCTTCTGCTGGACGGCCATTCGAGCCATAAGAGTTTAGGGGTTCTTCCAATGGCCAAAAATACCGGAACTGTTTTATTTTGTTTTCCTGTGCACTGCACCCACCGTGTGCAATCACTCGATATTGGTTTCTTCCCGTTACAAACCTATTATAGCCAAGAGACACAAATATGGCTAAAACAAAATTCAGGGAGGATGGTAATGGATTTTCAGGTTGCTAGTCTGTTTAAAAATGCCTATTTGAAAAGTGCAATACCGGCAAATGCCATAAACGCATTTCGCAAAGCAGGAATAGTGCCCCCAAATCCTGCAATTTTTGAGGATTGGATGTTTGCTCCATCTCTCACTACGGACAGACCTCATGAACTATTAGCCCCAGAAGATTGTGAACAACCAATGGAAGAGTTGCAATTAGCCTTAGATGACGAAATAGCAGGTCCTTCTACATCAGGAAGAGCATATCCTTCTACATCAGGAATATCAGGAGCAGCAGGTCCTTCTACATCAGGAACAGCAGGTTCTTTTACGGCAAAAGCAGCAAGTCCTTCTACGTCGGAAGCAGCAAGTTAAAATAGAAAAAGTTAAGCTTACTGTTCAAGAATTATCGCCGTTGCCAGTATCCAGTATCTGCACCTAAACATGGAACAACGAGAGGAAGGAATCGCGGAAAAAGTAGTCATTTGAATAGTAGACCTGACATTGTAGAACTTGAAGCTCAAGCAGACGAGAAAGCCAAAAAAGTGCGAGGAAAGCTAGCGAGAAAAGCAAAGAGAAAAGTAATATTAGAGGACGAGGAAAATAATAATCCATACAATATCGATAGTGATGGATCTGATGCTGCTTGCTTATATTCTCACTCTCGTGCTAGAGAACCTTGGATCCGCTGTCAGAAATGCGTGTCCTGGTGTCACTGTGATCGCGGTGGAGTACCTTAACGTAATTAGATGTTTGTCTGCAAGCTATGCCAGTAGAATTTTTTCAAGTTACATATTACATTAAAATAATACTAGAAATATTACCTATTTTGTTACTTTTGGTTGAAATAAAACTAAATTTAAATTGACTATATTTAATTTTTGTGGTTATGCCATAATAGGCCCTGACATGATCTTATGATATGATATGATGACATAGCTCAATTATTCTTCAAATAGCGGTTTCAAAAAAAAAAATTACTTAATTAGAATTTGCATGACCTATCATCAATAGCTATTATGTAAAGGATACACGCACCTAAAGTAGTAAATGTAGCGACTCCAGCGATACTAGTACCTAGTAGTCGATATTTCGAATGAGCCAGTCATGCACTCAGCTTCCGAGAATTGGGAGAAGTCATTCAATGCTGTGGAAGCCCAGCCAGTGAAACTTCTTGATGAACTATTATTCATGGAGTTCAGCTCTACTTTTGATCCACCACCTCTATAGTCCGCTCCGCTGGTAGACGATAGTAGCCATCTGTCTTCAAACGCATTTGGAACGCGTCACCAACGCGACTAAGACATACAAAATATTGTATGGTTGTTGATGGGTGGCCACGTCAGTCCCAAACCAAATGTTAAGTCATTACATCACTAGTGCAATAATAATGTTAATACATAGCTCAAATTGCTCAAAATGAGTGGTCGGACAAGATTTTGAGATTGAAGTAGTCTAGAAACAGATTTTATGCTTCCATTAAATTGATATATCAGTCATAATAGATAGGTAACTTGTTACCTATTTACATTTACTTTAATTTTAGACTACAGCGAGTGAATGTACCCTAATAAGTCTTCTAGCCGGGCGATTTGTAGCTATTAAAATGTACGAAAATCTCTATCCAAATGCATCTAAACACGAAATTAATGGAAAATTGGTGGCCTATTGTTCAGATCAAGCGCATTCCAGGTATGTTCTATCATATCAACGATATCAAAATTTTCACTTTTTTAACAAAAATATGAAAACCTTTTAGCGTGGAAAAGGCCGCTTTGATTGGTCTGGTTACTCTCAGATATATTGAATGCGATGACAATTATTCTATGAGAGGGGAGAAACTTTTAAAAGCAATAAAACAGGATCGGGAATTGGGTCTCATTCCTTTTTGGGTAAGAAATCTCCTTTTTTTTTTCATTTCCTCTCCATTTTAGTTCAATTGATTATTCTCCCGAAGCATTTTTCTAAAAAACTTGAACCAATCAATTTGGAATTTGTGATTTTGTCAGATATTGTCAAGAAATTTATTCTTTTTTGGCTTATTGAAAATTTATCTCTAAAGTCTAAAGGGATTACTGCTAGCATATAGCTGAAAGTTTTCTCCAGTAATAATTAATTGGTCAAATCTTCTTACACTAATTGAGCTTGCGGATGCTTTAAGTCCCTTGTTTGTAATTAAGACCAGCTTTTGATTTGTTTGGATGACTTATTTCTTCTTGTCCCATCTGATAATGAGACTGCTGGGCCTTGAGATAAATTGGCTGCAATTACTTTTCTTTGCTTACTCAAGGTTTATTTTGAGATATTAATAAAATAATAAATAACTTTTATTTGGAAACTATAAAATTGTCCATTATTTTATATAAGGCATGCGCTACTTTGGGTACAACTGGCTCCTGTGCTTTTGACAATTTAGAAGAAATTTCTCAAATATGCTACAACGAACTCCTGTGGTGTCACGTAGATGCTGCCTATGCTGGATCCGCTTTCATATGTCCTGAATATCGAAAATGGCTTAAAGGTATAGACAAGGCTAATTCTATTGCGTTCAATCCTTCCAAATGGTTGATGGTACATTTTGATTGTACAGCAATGTGGTGAGTTTCTCACATTGAAATGCCACTTGATTCCATTAAAATGTTTTGTTATTTTCAGGGTCAAAAACAGCAGTGCTCTTCATGGAGCTTTCAACGTAAATCCGCTATACTTAACTCACGAATACTCAGGTATGATTTTTCACCAATACAAAATGTTCATGAAATGTTTTAGGCTTCAACATAATATAATAATATGTTTTAAAAATTATCTATAGGACTTGCAATTGACTATATGGTAAGTATAATGTAATGAATTCAGTATAGAAAATACAATAAGTAGGTACCTATTTTGAACTTATTAATATCTCATAATTTTTCCTAGCATTGGCAAATACCTTTAAGTAAGCGCTTTCGGTCTCTAAAATTGTGGTTTGTCATTCGTAACTATGGAATAACTGGACTTCAAGAACATATAAGAAAAGGAGTTCAATTAGCAGAAAAATTTGAGGCATTCGTGAGAAATGATCCACGATTTGAAATTCCTGCCAAGCGATACCTCGGATTGGTGGTTTTTCGATTGATTGGAGATAATTTCATCACAGAAACTTTGTGCAAAAGGTAGAAATTCGAAGTTTATGATGGTAGGGTAAAACAAACTTAAGTAATATTAATATTTGCTTCTAGGCTCAACTCCAGGGGAAATATTCATTGCGTACCTGCAAATCTTAAAGGAAAATACGTTATAAGATTTACTGTAACGTCTCCAAGAACTACTTTGGAAGATATAATCAAAGATTGGAAGGAAATTGTTACAGTTGCCAATGATATATTGCAGGAGAGAGAGAAGTTTGCAAGAAGAGCCAAAGTACCCCTAGGAGGTGAGTAACTGTTTGTAGAATATTTTCCAGAAAAAAATCAAAAACACTTTAATTCTTAGAAACCAGAGACAGAAATGAGAATTTTGGATCCAGCTTGTTGTTATCGAACGTTCCAATGTCACCTAAGATAGTAAACGGATCGTTTGCTGCTATTTACGACCAAAGCGATGTATTAGAACAATTCACGAAAACAATAAAGCTAAGGAAGGACGCTCAAGACAGTCCAGGTTTGTGTTTATAATATTGTTAGGTAATATACACACAAGATGTTCCTCATGATTTGAAATAAGACAAAAAAAAAAAAAAAACTTCCAAAACTTGATTCGCACGCCCTCAGACAGTGACTTTCAGAACTTAAGAAGTTCTCTTGGTCCACAATAACTACAAAGGTTGCTCACGAAAACCTCCAACTGAGTCACCGAAACAAAAGTTTTCTGGAAACATTTTATTTCAATCAAATTTTATTTCACAAATCGGAAGGCTAGTACCATGAATCTAGGGCTCTTATAAACACATTCTTTGAAAGTGTGTCACGTTTTTTCAAACTTCCTGTGGATTATTTTGCTAATGAAATTAGACAGCAGAACTTAAATTGTCTTCGAGATACAAGCAACACAAAATCATACCGATTTGTCGTTTTAACGAGAACTAGATTAGAGTAGATTAGATTTATTGAACGGAGATGGCTCAGAAGCGTCCTCTACCACTGCAACCTTGTCAGAATTATTGTGGTATCTCCTTTCTGACCTTAAAGTGAATAATTGTCCAGACCCATCCTTCTGATAAGACTACAGAGCCGTGAAACTATCCACTCCATATAGCTTGCCGGTTTGGGCTTTTCCTCACCAAGCATTGTCAACCTGAGCTTGCATAACGCTTCGCAGTGATGCCACACATGTACGGCAGTTTCTTCCGCTTCCTTGCAGAATCTACTAAGGCCAGGCTCATTCTTTCCAGGTGCTTATTGAGCCTGCAATGCCCTGTCAATTGATCTACCATTATCCTTACAACCTTACGGCTGTGGCTTAGTAGGTCTGGTATGAACTTGGGCAAGCAGTGCTTAATGAACTGCTTTGCCTGTCGTTGCCCTGGTGTTTGCAGCCACTATCTCTGGAATTCTCTGTCTCTCCAGTTCTTGATAGATTTTTTAGAGAGGCATGCCGAATTTCCACCAAATGGTTCTGAGTATCTTCATCTGTGGCTGAGACTCCTTTAGCTAAGTCATCGGCCACTTCATTGCCTGATCATTGGAGCTGATCTTCGGAGAGCTGATTGCCTTCAGGGCTGCTTGACTGTCCGAGTAGATGGCAATGTTTCTACTCTTCACTTATTTTTCCTTCATCAGTATTGCGCAATGCATTAGTGCAGCGATTTCCGCCTGAAACCCCGTGTCGTGCTGTCCGAGGCTTATGGGTATCTTCACCCTGGGCCTCTCTCCGTAAATACCAGCTCCGACCCCCTTCTTTTTCTTGAAGGCGTCGGTGTACCAGATTTGGTCTGCTTTAATTGGACGGCCTTCCTCCCGGTCTTTCCTATCCGGTATGGCGATCAGACAGTGGCTGTTGAAGATAAAAAGAGGAGTTGTTTCATCTGAAGGCATCTCCTACAAGGAGGCAACCTCTTGATCCTGCTCTATCTATCTTGAATCGAGATCTAACTATTGCTATCCTTGAAAACCAGTTTCAAACCTCGAAGTCCAAAGATACAGTTTACCACATTAACCTTTAAAATTTCATTCAGCTAAAATCCAAACCCTATTCAAATAATTTGAACAACTAATAGTAGCCATCTCAAATGCTTGTGAAAACTTCTCTCATACATTGAAAAATTGCACATTATTCTTATCGAACAGACATCTATGCCTACTATTCCAAATTCTGAACAATCATTCCCAACCATCACGCACAGCCTTCCCAGTTTACTGGTTGCACACTGATATAATGTCATGCTTTAGACATCTTAAGTTGACTTGCACGATGCTTCAGACAACTCACGGAAGGTCAGAGATTTGCTGGACACAGCCAGCATGGCCCACTTAGTTCTGAACCCCATATTAAGCGCCTCGGTCTTCAACAAGAGTACAGTTCCATTTCTTTAGAAGGTGGCATGTCAACCACTTTCACCGCGAGAATACTTACCATATTATAGCCGACCTAGGCAGTGTAGTGGTTAGTGTATCTGCTTCGTCGATTGCTTCTTAATACAAAGTTTTTTCTTGCATACCAAGTGTGAATACAGTTTTTTTATGGCACATTCCAGAAGCGAATGTGCCTTGATTTTCACAGTGTTTTCCATGCTAAAATACACGGCGGGTAATTTCTGGGTAGCGCAACTACCCAGAGTTTTTTTCGGGGCCCCGACGTCGACTTGTACAAGCTTTTGATCACCACTACCTGATTGTATCATCAAAGCGAGGGGACGAAAAAATGAGTTAGGGTACTGCCGAAAAGTGAGAGCACGGCACGCACCATACCATTCTTTTCCGAACAAGTGAGGGAACGTCGCCTAGTTAGGGGACTCCAAACAAAGTTGGGGTAGGTCAGAAAGTAAGGGAACGGCACGTACCACAACTCAGATCATAAACAAAATGAGGGGACTCTCCTCATATGTCAGGGAACGTCCACCAGACAGCAGACACTCCCAAATAAGCAAGGGGACGACACACAGGTCAGGGCACCCGAGCCAAAATGAGAGGGTAACCCAAACCACGGGGATACCCCAGGAGGCGTAACTAGTATCTGTACTATTATGCAAAACTGATCTGCTCCATAAAACAGTAGGCTTTGTAATACGAAACACCGCGTTTCTTAACACTTCTTACTATATTAATATACAGCGCGCGTAAGCTCTACATCGTGGTATAGGTAGTAAATGCCTTAACACGCTTGCCTAATACTCTCAATAGACTCGAGCACAGATCGCGATCTTCCCTTTCCCTTTTTTCGCATGACTCATTTTCTTAAGTAATAAGCTGTTACAGTGTAGGTCGTACATAAATAAATATAATTATTCTTTATTAACCATACGCACCAAGAAGACATGTGATGAAGGAGTAGTGTAACAGTTGGATTAGGTAATTGATACTGTACCATAACAAAAAGTGACTGCATTGTGAAATACACATTTCCTCATCTTCAGAAAATCAGAAGTAGGTGTGAGTTAGAAAGGTATTTAAATGTTACCATAGCAATGAAGTGGATTGTAATAAAAGAAGTGAGAGCAGAGTGAGAAATCGAAATTGTGATGTTACCATTTCATTTTCAGTGAAAACAATTATTAACAAAAATTCCCTAAAAAACGAACACTTATCGAAGAAGGGATTGAATATTGTCATCAGCGTAAGGCCATTCGCACATGAACCTACCCATAAAAGCTGTAACTGTGTAGAGACGCCAGTCACATATGTTTAGTATGCTTAGGCGCTCCCATACGTGCAGTTGCTCATTTACTACCTATACCACGATGTAGAGCTTACTTGCGCTGTACATTAGTACAGTTAGAAATGATAAGCATCGCGGTTCTTCGCCTACCTACTCTTCTATAGATCAGATCGGTTCTGCATAATAGTACAGAATGTAATTACGCCCCCAGGAGGGTATTCCACGATGGGAGACGCACAAGACGACTCCGATAATGAGAGTGTCCGGAGCTTCTGCTCAAATGCGTCCTCTTTTAAAGAGACAGTAAAGAGCATACCAAAAGAAAAAGCCCGACTCCTTGTGCATGCATGTGTATGCAAGGAATGCGCAAAGCACTATGACTATCTTGGTACCAATACAGAGGAAGAAGGAAGGGCCATGGTCGAGATAGTCATTTCGCATATAAGGGGAAACCACCTTTACTTTACTAACCCAAACCTAAGCAACTAAAAAGCAGAGCTGGGAGTAACGACAAAAAATAGTTACTTTACTTTAACGAGTTACTAAAATTAACGCGTTACTTGGTAACTTCGTTACTTTTCAGATTGATTGATAAGTAACTGTAACGACGTTACTTTCCTGAAGTAACGCTGGAAGTAACGCGTTACTAGTTACTATGAAAGTAACTCGTTCTCTTAATTTGTTTATCTTCTTTACAAATAATTGACTAGTGAGGAAAAGAAAAATAAGTATTCCAAAAACTTTGTATGTCAAATAAAATGTGGGTAGTACAGAAAATTTGTTTTGAAAGCTCAAAATAATCGTTTTTGGGCGTGCCACGCGCCGCCTCTGCTCTAAAGACACTTTATGCAGACACTGGGACGCTTCAAAGAGCAGGTTTGTCCAGAACCAAGTGCTCTATTTAAGGTCTGTTCCCACAGGAGTCTCCGACAGTTTGCAACCTGTCAGAAACAATCGCTCAGCTGAGTTACAGATTGATCTTGGAACGACAGCATTGAAAACATGTATGGGCGATTCTTACTGACAGTTTGCAAACTGTCAGAGACTCCTGTGGGAACAGACCCTTTAGTCGCTTAATCCTTAATCCGTTTGAATTTTGCAAGAATATTCTTCCACAGTCGGACTTACAAACTAAAAACATATTGGCATTTTGTATAGGTCTAATTTGATTGTTTGGACTGCTGTGTTGGTGAGTCAAATTAAAGAATAACGCAATTTTCGACGTAAATAGTTATTTTTGAAGTAACGCGTTATTTTAAAAGTAACGAACTACTTTTAAAGTAAAGAAGTTACTTTCAAAGTAAAGAAGTTACACTAACGCGTTACTTTCAAATAAGTAACGAAAATAAAGTTATCATTATTCGAAAGTAACTGTAAATTTTAAGTAACGAATTATTTTTGAGCAAAAGTAACTGTAAAGTAACGCGTTACTTTTTTCAAGTAACGATCCCAGCTCTGCTAAAAAGACCTCTGGAAACCAGCCGTGATCAGAGGAAACCTAAGAAAACTGCTGAGGGGTGCGATTTCGCCCAGCCTCCCCCACGTTCCCCTTTCCCCTGCAGAATGTAGAGGCTACCGCACCAGCCATGATCAGGGCGACGGGTTTCGGAAAACTTTTCCAAGTCCCCACCAAAAATAGATTTCAAGTGCTGGAGGCCAAAGACCATGAGCCTGAGCCTGAAATGACAGCACTTAACAAGTCCCAAGAGGAAATCAGAAACAAGGTGGCAGACACTCCCCTACCAAAACCAACAGGCACAGCCAAGGGGAAAAAAGCCCTTCCTCTCCCAATTGTGGTAAAAGGCAGACTCAATAACTACAAACACTTCCTCGATATGGCGGCCCAA